GTGCGGGAAAGACTTTAAGATGAAATCTGAACTTCTTCTACTTCTGAAAACCCACAACCATGTGACCTTTTCATGCCCAGAGTGCGGGAAACGTTTCACTGAGGAAAGGGAGCTTCTTAAACACCAGAAAAGTCACAAGGGTGAGAATTCCTATTCATGTCCATTGTGCGGGAAATCTTTCACTGAGGAAAGCAAGTTTGTTAAACACCAGAGATATCACAAGGGTGGGAATTATTCTTGTTCAGAGTGCGGGAAAAGTTTCACTGCTAAAACAAGCCTTGTTATACACCAGAGAATTCACACAGGTGAGCGACCTTATTCATGTTCAGAATGTGGGAAAAGTTTTACTAGCAAAACAAATCTTCATAGTCACCAGAAAATTCACACAGGTGAGCGTCCGTATTCATGTGCAGAATGTGGGAAAAGTTTTACTAGCAAAACAAATCTTCATAGTCACCAGATAATTCACTCAGATGAGCGTCCGTATTCATGTGCAGTATGTGGGAAAGGTTTTGCTAGGAATGAAGCTCTTCTTACACACCAGAGAATTCACACAGGTGCTGGTCCTTATGCATGCTCAGAGTGTGGGAAAAGTTATACTAGCAAAGAAGCTCTTCTTAGACACCAGAGAATTCACACAGGTGAGCGTCCTTATGCATGCTCAGAGTGTGGGAAAAGTTTTACTACCAACAAAGCTCTTCTTAGTCACCAGAACATTCACACACGTGAGCGTCTGTATTTATGTGCAGAATGTGGGAAAAGTTTTGCTAGGAATGAAGCTCTTCTTACACACCAGAGAATTCACACAGGTGAGCGTCCTTATGCATGCTCAGAGTGTGGGAAAAGTTTTACTACCAACAAAGCTCTTCTTAGTCACCAGAACATTCACACACGTGAGCGTCTGTATTTATGTGCAGAATGTGGGAAAAGTTTTGCTAGGAAAGAATCTCTTCTTACACACCAGAGAATTCACACAGGTGAGCGTCCGTATTCATGTGCAGAATGTGGGAAAAGTTTTGCTAGGAAAGGAGCTCTTCTTACACACCAGAGAATTCACACAGGTGAGCGTCCTTATGCATGCTCAGAGTGTGGGAAAACTTTTACTACCAACAAAGCTCTTCTTAATCACCAGAACATTCACACACGTGAGCGTCGGTATTTATGTGCAGAATGTGGGAAAAGTTTTGCTAGGAAAGAATCTCTTCTTACACACCAGAGAATTCACACAGGTGAGCGTCCTTATGTATGCTCAGAGTGTGGGAAAAGTTATACCAGCAAAGAAGCTCTTTTTACACACCAGAGACTTCACACAGGTGAGAGTCCGTATTCATGTTTAGAGTGCGGAAAAAGTTTTACTTACAAAACAAATCTTCATAGTCACCAGAAAATTCACACAGGTGAGCGTCCGTATTCATGTGCAGAATGTGGGAAAAGTTTTGCTAGGAAAGGAGCTCTTCTTACACACCAGAGAATTCACACAGGTGCTGGTCCTTATGAATGCTCAGAGTGTGGGAAAAGTTATACCAGCAAAGAAGCTCTTCTTACACACCAGAGACTTCACACAGGTGAGAGTCCGTATTCATGTTTAGAGTGCGGGAAAAGTTTTACTGACAAATTAAACCTTATTTCACACCAAAAAATTCACACGGGTGAGCATCCTTTTTAATGTTCAGAGTGTGACAAAAGTTATGCTGACACAGAAAATCCCTCTTAGACACCAGAAAACTCTCGCAGCTGAATATCCGTATTCACGTTTAGAGTGCGGGAAAAGTTTTCCTATCAAAGGTACCCATCTCGAATGCCAGAGAGTCCACACGGGTGAGCTTCCATATTAATGTTTAGAGGACGAGAAATGTTTTGCTGAAAAAGGACACTTTTTGTAAGTCATGTGGGCGAGTGTCATAGTGGGATATAGTGTGGGAAATGTTTCATTTAAAAAGGAGAGCTTATTGTACACTAGGGAAGTCACACAGGTGAGCATCCTTATCCATGTATAGAGTGCGGGACATGTTTTGTTATAAAAGGACCTCCAATGATGCATCAGAGGACTCACACCGGCTGAAACACCTGCAGATCAACAGGATGAGCTTCCATCTGCTACAATGTCAGTTAAAGTGCCAAACAAGTAGAATCTTTATATAATTCGTTATTTGACCTCTTATTGTATCCTAATCAGCCGTATTTCACTCCTTCTTTCCCCTTTGGAGGGGCGTCGGCACGGAGTGGGTGAGAATATAGGCGGGACGTCGGCACGGAGTGGGTGAGAATAGAGGAGGGGCGTCGGCACGGAGTGGGTGAGAATATAGTCGGGACGTCGGCACGGAGTGGGTGAGACTAGAGGCGGGACGTCGGCACAGAGTGGGTGAGAATAGAGGAGGGGCGTCGGCACGGAGTGGGTGAGAATAGAGGAGGGGCGTCGGCACGGAGTGGGTGAGAATAGAGGAGGGGCGTCGGCACGGAGTGGGTGAGAATAGAGGAGGGACGTCGGCACAGAGTTTCTCTCGTATCAGTCAGAGAAAACCAAAAATAAAATAAAGCCCTTCCTTCCTACATAGCCAAGTGGGCCGGCCTGCTCCTTCTAACTCCAGAAGACACACATTCTTTTTTTTTTTTTCGAAGCCTGTGGCCGTGCATCAAAACAAACTTCCCCCTGTGAACAAAAAAAGTGAACCGTGAAATCACAGCACACAAAAAACGAGCACAAGGGGGCAAGGTCCTTCCGAAGAAGGGACCCATTTCCCGACCCCTCGGGGCGCAAGGCTCCTGACAGGGGTTGAGACTGGTGGTCCACCAACCCGAAGGCCGGTGGACCCATTTCCTATGGGGACCTGCCGAAACAGGTCCCC